AGGAGAAGAGATCGCCGGCTGTGAGATCGCCGGCTGTGACCCGCCGCCGTCGCTAGAGGTGAGAATCGTGGAGGTGTGGTCCGTGTGTAGCACTGGATCGAGATTTGAGAGTGGAGGCGGCCTGACTCCTGAGGGCTGAGTGAGGGTGAGGGCCTAGGGTTTTTTTTTGTTTTGGTTTTGGGTTAGCGGGTTTGTAACTATAAGATTAGGACCCGATTACCCGAATCACTATTACATTACGGATATCCGTATCCGCAACCCTCATATCCGTTACCGAATCCGTATCCAAAAAAAAATCTGAAACCATATCCGTATCCGTTACCGTATCCGCCCGGTTTCAAATTTAGCCTACCATATCCGCATTCGTTCGGATACGGATGCGGATCGGTTCGGATTTATCCGAACCGTTTGGCACCCCTAGCTACAACCCATGATTTTTTAGCATTTTTAGTCATTTTGAGCCGTTGACAAATAATATAGCGAAGGATAAAATTCACCATTTCATGAACTATAACATGATTTTTGGTCATTTCTAATTATTTCAATCTACTATTAAACAATTTTGCAGGAGCTAAAATTCACGGTTTTATGAGATATTACTCATGATTTTTGGGTACTTTTAGCCTATTTGAGCTTTGGTAAATAACATTGTAGATGCCAAAATCCATGATTTCGTAAAGTAAAACCCATTGGACATTTTTATTCGTTTTGAACCATTGGTAAATAATTTTGCGGAGTCCAAACTTGATAATTTCATGAGCAATAAGTTTTGGCCATTTACAGTCATTTCAAACCATTGACAAATAATTTCCCAGAGGCTAAAATTCACGATTTCATAAGCTACAAGCCATGTTTTTTAACCATTGCTAGTTGTTTCGACCCATTAGCAAATAATTTTGCCAAGACCAAAATTCACAATTTCATAAGCTAATCCATTATTTTTAGCCATTTTTAATTGTTTCCACCCTTCATCAAATAATTTCACAAATGTCAAAAGTCACTATTTCGAGAGATCACCCACAATTTCTAGCTATTTTAAGTTATCCCGATCTATTAGCAAATAATTTCAATATAGCCAAAATTCGTGATTTTATGACCTATAACCACGATTATTAGTCATTTATAGTCATCTCGGGTCATTGGCAAATAATTTTGCAGAGGCTAAAGTTTAAATTTTCATAAGCCATAACTCACAATTTTTGGTCATTTCAGTCAATTAGACCTATTAGTAAATAATTTTACGGAGAGTAAAATTCATGATTTCATGAGCTTATAACTCATGAATTTTTTTACATTTTGTCGTTTTGGCCAATTGTGAAATAATTAGATGAAGACCAAACTTCACGATTTTATGAGCTATAACCCACTATTATTTGTTATTTTTAATTGTTTTAAATTGTTAGCAAATAATTTTTCAGATGACAAAATTCATAATCTTATGGGCTATAATCCATGATTTTTTGTTATTTTTAATAATCGTTTTGAACCGTTGGCAAATAATTTCGGTGAGGCCAAAATTCATGATTTCATTAGCTATAGCTCATGATTTTTTGTCATTTTTAATCGTTTCAACACATTGATAAATAATTTCGTGGAAACCAAAATTCACGATAGTATGAGCTAACCTATAATTTTTGGTCTTTTTTTAGTCATTTCGACCTGTTGTGAAATAATTTTGCAAAAGCCAAAATTAAAGATTTTATAAGCTATAATCCATGATTTTTTACCATTTTTAGTCATTTCGACTAGATGTTAAATAATTTTGTGGTGGCTAAAATTCACAATTTCGTGAACTATAACCCACGATTTTTTTATTATTTTTAATTATTTTGACCTGTTGTCAAATAATTTCGTGATGACCGAAATTCTCGATTTCTTGAGCTATAACCCATGATTTTTTACAATTTTTAGTCATCCCATTGTCAAATAATTTTGCGTTGACCAAAATTCATAATTTCTTAAGGTATAACCCCCGCTTTTGGGCCATTTTAGTCATTTTGACCCGTTAGCAAATAATTTCAGGCTAAAATTCATGATTTTATGGATATAACCCATGGTATTTGCTATTTTTAGTCATTTCGAGTTGTCGCTAAAAAAATTCACGAAAGCTAAAAATCATGATTTTATGAGATACAACCCACAATTTCCTGAGTTATAACCCACGCTTTTTTGCTATTTTTAGTCGTTCTGACCCTTAGCAAATAATTTCGTGGGTGTCAAAATTCCTAATTTCATAAGCTATTACCCATGATTATTGGACATTATTAGTCATTTCGAACCATTGGTAAATAATTTTGTGAAGTCCCAACTTCACGACTTCATGAGCTATAACACACTATTTTGCCCATTTTTAGTCTTGTCAAGTCGGAAATTTATGATTTTATAAACTATAATCCATAATTTTTATCATTTCTAATTATTTCTTTCATTGGTAAATAATTTTGCAGAAACCAAAATTCACAATTTTATAAGTTATAACTCATTATTTCAATACTAATCCTCATGAAAATACAAAATTGTCTTCCTCTCTTGTTAGAACAATCAATATCAACATAAAAAATTAAAACAACCAAATATAGAAGAATTATTTGTATTCATAAATTTTTATAGGATTACCCAAGATAATTATTTAAGGTAAGCGGTCTTCTCCGCGTTAATTTATTATGGAAAATACTTAGAATAACCTTAAAAAACATAAGTTTCAAGGTACCAAGTTTTGCACATTGTAGAAGTCAGATGAGAAGTTGGTTGATCATATTCTATTTTATATTATTTAAGTAGGGATATTTAGAAGCCACTTATGCATATATGTGGAGTTATTCAACTTCCCTTTCATTTTTGGAAGTTTGTCCTTCATAGAGTGATGCCCGCTTGCATAAGGTATATAGACTGTTCTGGGTAGTAATAATATCTTGGTTTCTTTATACGAAGCACTAACACAATTTCCAACTATATATCTTGTTCAAATCTTACAATCGCAGATATATAGAAAGTAGATCGGTCGACTTAATAGTTGGGTGGAGATAATGGAATCTAAGTCCTAGTGGCGGAGCAAGGATGATTTTTTTGGTTGGTGGGGGCGCAAAATATAACCATCATACTTTATTATACATCTGTACATCAGTTACAATGCAATCATATTATAGTATATAGCAAGGTTGTAGAAAGTGGAAAGTGGAAAGCGGTCAAGCTTTTTGGGGCTTTAGCAACAAAATGTGGCAAAAAACACCAAGTGAAAAAGTGGATTTGAACTGGAGAAGTAGGTGGAGGAGCTTCGACTGGAGATGGTGATGATGAGCTTCCATGAGGAGTTCATGGGAAGGTGATGTTATGATGGTGATGGGAGCTTGCTGAAGAAGTATTTAGATGCAAATTTTGTGGTGAGAAATAGTAGAGTTGGTTGTAGGTAGGGGCGAAGGTGGCTAGAGTGGGAGTTAAGGTTAGGGATTATTTTCGTCTCTTGTGGCACCCAAGCGCACAACTTTGCGCATCGAAGTGCAGGAACCCGCTGAAGATTCACACCCACAAAGACGCGTTTCGAGGCGTGTGACTTTTGAAAGCCCAAAGAAGGCAATCCAACCTTAGATGGAAACATTATCATCTGACAGTGATAGTGTTATACCTGAGAAGTCGTGCCCGCACACGATAGGTTACTCCGACTGTCAAAATGACGAGTTGTACTATCGTGCTGGGGGTACGAATAGAACCAGGAAGAGGAGTCCCCGAGAATAGGAAATTCAATGCCCCTGTTCCAAAAGAGAGGGGGGGTTACTTAAGAAAATGGGTCAAGTTCGGATTCGGGTCAGGTATAATATAAACTCGTACCTTTTTAAAGCGCTATTAAGTACTTAACAATGCTTTTACAAGCTTTTTGCTGCATTTTCAAGTAGAAAGCGCTACATCTGCTTTCATTGGTTGCTTTTGACGAAAGCAGAACTGTGAGGCATCACTTTCGCTTTGCAAACTGCTTAAGCGGCTAAAAGCGAGTGTGTATAATAAGTTTTCATATATGTAAGTAGGTGAAAAATAGAACCTGGATAGAAGTTTTTCCCAAAAAAAAAAATATCTTCAAGAATACTTGAGTCGTTTCAACATATTCATCTTTCATTAAATCAACATGCTCCAATCTTCAAAAGTTTCTTTTTACCTATAAATAAGCATGACAAGTTATCAATTGTAGACTTGTAGTTAGTTTTCCCATAACTACAAAGTACAAATTCTAATCTTCTTGTAGACCTAATAGATTAACAATACACTATAATTCCTTTAAAATTTTATATGACTGTTTATAAATAAATAAATAAAATCATTTGACTAAATCATTCAATAGCATAGGTCTAAACTTCTGTCATTTCCTTAAATTGGCATCCTGAAAACAGAAATAAAATAATAAAGAAAATGAATATATCATTCCAGAAGAGAAACCTGGGACAGACTATAGCATCAATTATTTTAGCCACAAGATAAAAGCAGTATGATGCATCTCTGGAGGAACTCAGAGTACGCAAATTTCAGTGGACACTGATGGAGATTTTTAAAGTGCAGCAGCTCGAAGCAAATCAATAGGTACATTGCAAATAAAATTCTAAAACAATTCAATCTGATTGTGTAACAATATTTACATGCTCATTTCTGAAGAATCTACAGAACGTGAGGGTGCAAAGTCAGCTAATTGTAAATTCTGAAACTATTCTCTACATGCATAAATTGTTGGCAACTTACGCGTAGTCTGTGGATACATACATGAAAAAAAAATGTTCTTACAAGTGATATATAAGGTCTCAAATCTTAATGATTAATTATGGCAACTTTCAGATGAATTAATCATCAAAATTCACAAAATTGTAACTTTTATCTAATCTAAACTCAAACCAATCTCTAAAAATTCATTTTCACACTAAAAACTGGTTTCATTAACATCTACGAAAAGATTAGACCCTTACCAACTGATTAAGCTTTATACCAACAAAAACATTAAAAAAGTTGGAAATTTTTCCAACCTGAAAGCCTGAGATGGAGAGGCTGGTAGAACTTGAACTTGAGTCTTGAGGACGGACGGCGGCCGGAGGTGGAAGAGTGGTCGGTGCTCGCCGGCGCCGCTCGCGGGTGACAGAGAGAGGCTCGAAATCTCGAAAGGCGAAAATCGCAAGTTTAGGTTTTGTCGTCAATTTGCGATCGGCATTTGGGATGTGCGTTTTTTGATCGGGCAACGGGTTTGGGTAGGGAGTTAATGATAGTAGAAACGGGTGACGGGCCGGGTTTGGTTCTGGAATTGGATTAGGAAATAACGGCAGGAACGGCCCAAACGGGTAGAGTTCGGTAATTAGGTTCAGCAACTAGTGCTAGCTGTATTTTTATTTTATCGATCGATAGAAAACTTTTTTTTAAATGTTCTCATTAGGCTAAATAGTATTTAAATACTTTAATATTTTATCATCGTCCTAAGTTGTAAAAGGTAGTACAAAAATACTCCAAGTTGTCCACAGTTAGAATTAGACTAACACCGTTAGTTTTAACGAAAATGCCCTCCGTTAAAATATTAGTAATAAACTAAAGAGGTAGATAAAATGGTAATTAAAGCAATAAATAAGGGCGGTACGATAGTAAAATTCATGTGTACTATGCACATGTGAATATTCCTAGGAATATTCAATTATCTATTTAGCAGAGGGTAGCAATGTGCTATTTTTTAACAACGCGTGGTATTTTTATACTACTTTTTACAGTTTAATGTATTTAAGTGTAAAGATAGTGAAACATTAGTGTATTTAAGCTTCATTTAGCCTTTTCATTGTGTAAAATTTCAGTGTGTTGAGTGTGTTCAGCTAGCTGCTTTACATTAGGTGACATTTACTCATTGGCTCACTTATAAGACGCGAATAGTTGCTCATTGTCCGACTTAATGAAAACTTTTCAGTCGAATATGAAAATTAGTACTTGCGCATGCATGTAACGGAAATTTTGCTATTATTGTACCATAATTTGCTACTTCTCTAATGGTTAAAGCATGAAAACTCAATTTTGAGTTTTTTAAGCTAAATTTTAATCACTAAATCAGCTCAACCACCCTCCTCCTAGCCCATCTTTGTTTTGGGCATAACCTTACCCTCTCAGGTTGCTATGGGGGCTCGTGAACATCGGGATGGGACAGAAATGGATATGGATGCTTCAGGAAATGGGCTCGTAAAACTATAGTTGTTCCATGTCAATGGCCCTTTATTTTGATCATGCTGCGTTAATCCTAGGCTTGTTAATAAGGCCCTGGACCTTAGCCTCTCAGGCTAATAATAATATACGGGTCGTGAAAATTTGGACGGGACATAAACGGACGTGGATTCTTTAAGAAATGGGCTCCTGAAACCCAATCCGTTCTGGCCGGTCGTCGCCCATTTTCAGCCGCTGAGCGATAGCGAAAGATTCTTGCAGGCCGCTCATCGTTTAAGGTCCTTATCCAATCTTAATACAGAAATAACATATAATAAAAAAAAACAATAAGATTGACCGCTATTAATTAGCTTAACTACTATCAATATATGAGATTAGATTAGATTCTATCCGTCAGTGTTAGACGGAAGAAGAACCTAACTGCGTAACTAAATCATCTGCGGTTCACCAAACACCGCGTCGATTATGAACTTTAACGCCAGAAGTTCTTTGAAATGTTTTATTAACTTTGCCTGTGAAGTCTCATTTTATTTATTTATTTATTTATTTATTTAGGCCCTTTCGCAATGATAATGCCCTGTGACATATATAACGCATCAATTCCATCGCTGTATAGTGTCGGTCTCTTTTTCGAAACATGATTATGTCACGAAAACTCTTTTTCTCGTGGATATGATAGTGCGCTCCGGCGAATAACAGTTGTTGAGGTTAACGGGGCCCATATCATCACTTGCTTTCCCTTGCAAGGGGCCACCTACGGCCCAACTGATGGTAGGATAGGTTGACCTTCATAAAAAAAATCGAATAGGCCCAATGAGGCCGTAAAAAGGCCTAAAAAAAGGGAAATATGTTTAGACATTTATTAGCCATCGGATGCAAATACTGAACGGCACAGATGCCATTGTACTGCGGGTAGCGAACCGAAGTACCCTCTAATGTCCTCAAAAACCCCCCACTGAAGTACAACATATTTACGAAAACACCACATCTCCCGCGCACTGCACCTGGGCTTCATCATTGTTCTCCCTTGAAAATTCCCAAATAAACCCCCACATTTCTCTATTTAAACGCGAGCACGCGACGCAGGGTCTCATCTCCGCTGGCTCCGTTTTGATCGAGATTTTTTTTCTTTTTTTCCCTTCACCTTCTCAACGCGATGGCCGAGGTAATTTTTCCTAGCTTATCAACTCCCAACGATGAATTGGTGAAGTCGTAATTAAAGGGCACCTAATTATTGATCCGATTCTATGTTATATTCCTTTCTCTTTCTGTTTAGATGTATCAAATTGGGTTTTTTTTTTTCAAATTCAATGCCTATGAACTATTAATTATTATGAGAAATTAGATATGGGATTAATTTACTTTTCCCCTTGAAAGGAAAATTGTTCACGTAACGTATAAAGTTATGAACTGTAGTTAATGTTTCAGCATGAAACTATTTGTTCTAAGGGGGGAAATTAAGCAACTATAATAAGGTTTTAGGAGGAAAAAAAATGAGCTAAGAGATCCTCGTATTTCCTTTGTTGGGTTCACCCAGCATTGGATTGATTAATCTAAGTGGCTTTCAGGACAGGAGGATAGGCCAATTAGACTACAGAACATTTTTCGGGGTTTTTAATAATCCATTTATACGCGGCAAAGGGGCTCTATATGGATCATGAAGATTCTTATGTACATAAGCAAAACAGATCAAGCCATATGGACACCATCACATGGACGAATACCTTGAACATTTTTCATATGATATGTTTACTTGAGATTAAAATGTCCTGAATTGTCTCTAGGATTCTAAACTTTTCGATTTGTTAAATTTATTAGGAAACCATGTTGTTGTTAGCTATGGAGTGGATAATTGGTTATGATTGCTTATCTGAAGTGCACTACTTGTCATAGAATTGTACCGTGAGCTTATAGGATAGATCTCTGGCATGTTTTCCTTCCTCTTAACTTCCCATCACCATGGCATTCGCAAACCGAGCTATATAACCACAACTACGTAGGTTTACTATGATGGCGAAGTTTCGACATGGATTACGTACCCTATATGGGAATTCAGCTCTCTCTTTTTTTCTCGTAACCTTACCTTGTATTTCTGATGGTGTCCATGGATTGTTATGTTGGTGACTTTGATGTCCTTAGTTTTCTTTTTTCTTTTTCTTTTTTAATTTATTTATTTACATTTGGGCTCTGTTACTTTCTGTTTCGGATATTTATTAAGGAAACAAAGTTTGGTTCTTTGACAGACAGTTGTGCTCAAGGTTGGCATGTCCTGTCAAGGATGTGTTGGTGCCGTCAAGAGAGTCCTCACCAAAATGGAAGGTTGTTATTCCACTAATCTTCTTAACATTTTTACTGTGTTTATTCTTGATTGCTAAATCATCGTCGTTCTCTTGTGTTATCAGCCGGAGGATTGTGATTTATTTTACGATATCTGCTAGTTCTATTATGTCGTTGATCCTTATTCATCAAGAAGTAATTTTGGTTACCATAAGCAATAACTTTTGATGAACTGTGCATGCAAGGAAATGCCTTGACATGCTATGATTTTTCAATTTGGTAATTGATGATTACTGAACATCTGGTGATTTATTACTTTGGGTTGTATGTATTATTTCTTTTAGGTGTGGAGACATTTGATGTGAACATTGATGAACAAAAGGTAACAGTGAAAGGTAATGTAACACCAGATGCTGTTCTACAAACTGTTTCAAAGACGGGGAAGAAAACCTCCTTCTGGGAGGCAGAACCAGAGACCAAAGAAGCTCCGGCTGCTCGGATGCAAATACTGAACGGCACAGATGCCATTGTACTGCGGGTAGCGAACCGAAGTACCCTCTAATGTCCTCAAAAACCCCCCACTGAAGTACAACATATTTACGAAAACACCACATCTCCCGCGCACTGCACCTGGGCTTCATCATTGTTCTCCCTTGAAAATTCCCAAATAAACCCCCACATTTCTCTATTTAAACGCGAGCACGCGACGCAGGGTCTCATCTCCGCTGGCTCCGTTTTGATCGAGATTTTTTTTCTTTTTTTCCCTTCACCTTCTCAACGCGATGGCCGAGGTAATTTTTCCTAGCTTATCAACTCCCAACGATGAATTGGTGAAGTCGTAATTAAAGGGCACCTAATTATTGATCCGATTCTATGTTATATTCCTTTCTCTTTCTGTTTAGATGTATCAAATTGGGTTTTTTTTTTTCAAATTCAATGCCTATGAACTATTAATTATTATGAGAAATTAGATATGGGATTAATTTACTTTTCCCCTTGAAAGGAAAATTGTTCACGTAACGTATAAAGTTATGAACTGTAGTTAATGTTTCAGCATGAAACTATTTGTTCTAAGGGGGGAAATTAAGCAACTATAATAAGGTTTTAGGAGGAAAAAAAATGAGCTAAGAGATCCTCGTATTTCCTTTGTTGGGTTCACCCAGCATTGGATTGATTAATCTAAGTGGCTTTCAGGACAGGAGGATAGGCCAATTAGACTACAGAACATTTTTCGGGGTTTTTAATAATCCATTTATACGCGGCAAAGGGGCTCTATATGGATCATGAAGATTCTTATGTACATAAGCAAAACAGATCAAGCCATATGGACACCATCACATGGACGAATACCTTGAACATTTTTCATATGATATGTTTACTTGAGATTAAAATGTCCTGAATTGTCTCTAGGATTCTAAACTTTTCGATTTGTTAAATTTATTAGGAAACCATGTTGTTGTTAGCTATGGAGTGGATAATTGGTTATGATTGCTTATCTGAAGTGCACTACTTGTCATAGAATTGTACCGTGAGCTTATAGGATAGATCTCTGGCATGTTTTCCTTCCTCTTAACTTCCCATCACCATGGCATTCGCAAACCGAGCTATATAACCACAACTACGTAGGTTTACTATGATGGCGAAGTTTCGACATGGATTACGTACCCTATATGGGAATTCAGCTCTCTCTTTTTTTCTCGTAACCTTACCTTGTATTTCTGATGGTGTCCATGGATTGTTATGTTGGTGACTTTGATGTCCTTAGTTTTCTTTTTTCTTTTTCTTTTTTAATTTATTTATTTACATTTGGGCTCTGTTACTTTCTGTTTCGGATATTTATTAAGGAAACAAAGTTTGGTTCTTTGACAGACAGTTGTGCTCAAGGTTGGCATGTCCTGTCAAGGATGTGTTGGTGCCGTCAAGAGAGTCCTCACCAAAATGGAAGGTTGTTATTCCACTAATCTTCTTAACATTTTTACTGTGTTTATTCTTGATTGCTAAATCATCGTCGTTCTCTTGTGTTATCAGCCGGAGGATTGTGATTTATTTTACGATATCTGCTAGTTCTATTATGTCGTTGATCCTTATTCATCAAGAAGTAATTTTGGTTACCATAAGCAATAACTTTTGATGAACTGTGCATGCAAGGAAATGCCTTGACATGCTATGATTTTTCAATTTGGTAATTGATGATTACTGAACATCTGGTGATTTATTACTTTGGGTTGTATGTATTATTTCTTTTAGGTGTGGAGACATTTGATGTGAACATTGATGAACAAAAGGTAACAGTGAAAGGTAATGTAACACCAGATGCTGTTCTACAAACTGTTTCAAAGACGGGGAAGAAAACCTCCTTCTGGGAGGCAGAACCAGAGACCAAAGAAGCTCCGGCTGCTCCCACTGCTGCTCCCACTGAAGAGGCACCTGTCGCTGCCGCTGCCGAAGAAAAATCTGCAGCAGAAACACCTGCAGCTGCAACCGCTGCTGCGTGACTGTAACCTTACATTACACTATTTGCTTTAAAATGAAGTGAGTCTGAACAATTGCTGGCATTGCATACTAGATCAATGATATTTTGTCTTATGGTGTTATGACGTTTGTAATAAGAGCAGCAAGCCTTTGAATTTGAGATTTTAAAGAATTCTTATGCAGAAATTATGTTAAATTGCTTTCTTGGCTGGGATTGTGACTCGGTTACATACATATGATTATTGCTCCTGAGGATCGTAGAAACGAATGCATCTTTGTTGTGATGGGATTCGGGGTCGTCTGGTTTCTCTTCTTTACCCCTTTTTACGAGTTCTTGCGACGGTTTTTGTTAGTACTCTACTACATAGCGTCAACAATTTCTTTGGAGCTACCTTTCATCTGATACTGAAGGGAGGATGCTCGTTTTGTTTGTCACGCTGTAGTGTAGTTGCATGATATTACTAAAAGGAGCAGTGCCCTTAATACGAGGTTAAGGTATGCTAGAAAATTATATGTTCCCGCTGGTTTGTTGTGATATTTAGCACCTAGATCTTGAAAACATGTCGCCCTCCCACCCATAGTAGCTTGCTATTCCGTTATAATCTTGCAAATGAAGCAAGCAAAACTTGAGACTTCCCATCTTTTACCCAAAAAGAAAAGAAAAGGACAAATCACATGAACAGCTGAAGATAACAGTTGATGTTTGTAGTTCTTTCCCACATTCTGATCAGTTAGATTCTTAGGATCGTGATACGCATGTCGCACCTAAAATCATACTGATATGTACTCTCATGAAATATTCCAATTAAACGTTTGCGGATTTATCAGACGGTACGTGCATAACACCCAGTCACATTTTGATCAAAACACAGCCATTTAGTGTTGCCCAGCAGTTACACGCTTTCCTGGAAACTACATTTAGACTCGTCATTTCTGCGAGTACACTCAAATCAAATGAGATGGACAATCATTTTCTTGTTGCTGAGGCTGTAGCTCCTCTTGTTGAATCTGGTATGACAAGAAAAGCGGCGAGACTGGAGAAATGGAAGCGCTTGTAAATAGCCCCTTGCCGTTTCCATCATCAACGAAGTCTCCTTTAGCATTAGATTCTTCTTTCCTTTGTTTCGACCCTTGGCGACTAACATATTACCTTGGTGTCATTTCCATGTCGCAAATAGAGCCGCCATCCATTCTCTCCACAAACACATGCAACTAAGTTATACAACCACAAACAACAATGGCAATAACAACTAATGGCAGTAGCAACTGCTGCTGAAACTGCAGCTGTGTCAAATAAGTTGTCAGGGTGACATAAACCATAGTCATGCGGACAGTACTCAAAATTAAGGATCAATACTGTTTGGCACAGAAAAGGTAGCATGGAAGAAAAGCATGAGAAAGGCTATAATACCAAAAGAACTACCTGAGAAAAGATATCAGTATTAGCCAATATAAGTATAACATGAATACTATAATTCAATTGTAAATGTCTCCTGAATAGCTTGTCAAGTATAGTATTCAGCTCAGAACATACATGAGGAACTCATGAGGGGAAGTTATGTTTCATGGTATCATGCACAGGCATGTAGACATGCAAACAGTGCACGCACAAGAAAACAAGAACAATGGAAAAAATAACTCTGAATATATTTATTGCTGGAAAATTACCAAGATAAAACAATGTGCTCAGAATGCAAGGTTTTTTTAATGAACTGTTTTGCTTGATATTGTTCTTCATAGTATCCATAAATTTCCTCTGATATCGCATTAAGAAGATGACGGCTTGTTTGAGATTGAGCTCATCAATAAAATTGCATGTATATAAACACAAGGGCATTTAAATTTGTCTCAAAACAAAAGGGCAAAACTTATACTTGTATGACTACCAAAGAAAGTAACATAGAGGATTCATAACTCATTGCAGAAACTGATCATGTTAGGCATGTCCTCATTTTCGTATTGAATTAATGCTGCAAGCTGTAAATTTGAATAGTAAAATTTTCATAGACATTCAGAATTGCAGATATCGTGCCTAACTGCTGTCAAGCCTCCTCAATGAGGCTGGTAAAAGAAGTAATTTAGTTAATAAGAATACTTATGCATGACTATTAATTTTTCAGGCAGACTAATATCCAACACATTGCAATATCCATCGGACATCGGCTAAAAAGGAAAGAAATAAAACCAAAAGGGAATTTATCCAAAACATTCAGAACCGCCGCTGTTTTAGTTAGTCAAACCTTTTCAAGCATATCTTTTATGGGAAAAATATCTCTTCGAGCATATCAATTGAAAGATATGCTGAACCTCGACAGGTGCTTCTCTTTTGGCTCTACCGTTGAAATATTTTCAGGGATGATCACGTCAAACTTTGATAAAAGCCTTCCCACAAGAGACAACACATTATAACAAGCATCCACGAGGATCAAGGTTCGCTCAAAGAGTCTTCAGTCTTTTTCTAGGAGCAAGCAGATCTCTAAAAGATCTAGTCACAATATTTTCCCCAAGGTGTAAATACACATAAACAACTTACTTTTTATCCGTTACTTCAGGAAAATAGAGTCCGTACTATGAAAAGTTTTAAACTCTCAGATCCTCATCTGTTTGTTGTTAATGTCGTAACTACCACTTCACAGAAGTGAAATGTACAAAGAGAGAGAGAGGGAGGGGAGGAGGTGGATGGATGGGTTCTTAACTTCACTCTTCGTACTCATTTACAACAGCAAAAGAAGCAGCATATTTCACTGAATACGTTAAATAAGAAACAAAATCTTCTCAGAGTAAAAAGTAAAAGAAGCCAATAAATAGATGCAGCTACACCCCCTCCCTTCCCCCTTTCCTTCCCCAGCTCCTCTTCCTTCCCCTATTGATGTCATCATTTGATCAGAAGCTCCAGCTGATTAATCACATGAACTCGTTATTTGACGAGGTAAGATCTATCTTTCAAGTCTCTGGTTTCTTGTTTATGCACAAGCTAACAGTTTATAACTGACTGAGTAGATCTTTCTTAAGATTTAATGGCACTAAACTCAGCAAATTTTTCTCATGCATAACTTTCTCTCAATCAAATTGGTAGGTTTGGAGCTCTGGTTTTAGAGCACGTGTCTTCAATATCCACGATGTAGGATCTCAGTTTCAGATGCTTGATATTCAACAAGCTAAAATTTCACGACTAGTTAGTCAGGTTTTCTACGTATCGAACACGACAAATTTTATAGCAAACCCACTTCTTGCAAATTCACTTCCCTTTAATGCATCGGAAGCTATAGCTCATAAGAAATTAGGTTTCAGTGCTCCAATACCCATTAATTGGATCAGAAGCCTCGAATCAGAAGCTTCAGATCATAGGGCACATGGCTCCAAAGTTCAAATACGTATCGAACACGACAGATTTTATAGAAAATTCTCTCTTGCATAATTTTCTTTCAATCGAACTGGTAAGTTTGGAGCTCTGGTTTTAGTGCACGTGTCTTCAATATCCACGATGTAGGATCTCAGGTTCAGATGCTCGCTGTTCAACGAACTAAAATTTCATGACTAATTAGGCAGGTTTTCTACCTATCGAACACGACAAATTTTATAACAAGCCCACTTCTTGCATATTCACTTTCCCCTTTTCTTTTTTTGGAAGGTAAATGAAACTTTTCATTAACCTGTGACTGTTAATGTACAATCAAAAACTGGGCATACCCAACTATACAACAATCTCTACAAAAGAATCAAGCAAGACACTCAACTCTCAAAACCGAAAAACAGCTTCAGGTGACAATCCAAAACTGAACCTGCGGAGGAACATTACTATGTAACACTCTAGCTATAATACCAACGTTAATCCTCTTCACAATGACACTAACCCTGCTAACACAAGACTGAAATCTCCTAGCATTTCTGTCTTGCAAATTCACTTTCCCCTTAATGCACTGGAAGTTATAGATCATAATAAATTAGGTTTCAGTGCTCCAATATCCATTAATGGATCAGAAGCCTTGAATCAGAAGCTTTGGATCATAAGGCATGTGGCCCCAAAGCTTGAATACGTATCGAGCACGAAAGGTTTTATAGCGAGCCCACATCTTATAAATTCACTTTCCCCTCACTGCATTGGAAGTTATAGCTCATAAGAAATTACGTTTCGGTGCTCCAATACCCATTAATGGGAACAGAAGCTTCGGATCAAATGGCATGTGGCTCCAAAGCTCGAACACGTAGCATTCATCCCCAAGTTTCTTTGGCCGTTCAAGTTTCACAATTTAAAATTTCCTGAACTAGAAACTTGACACAGAATGAAGAGTTATAACACTCTAATTCTTAACATATAACTTATAACTCTTACTCATTGCGAGCATGACCTTAAGCTGATGACCGGTAAGGCAAATCTGCCTTCTAGTTCAATAAGTTGGCTTTAGAGAGCGACCAAAAATGTGACCATAGATTCACAGAAGTAAATCTAATCCTTATATGGAGACTTAACAACATATCAGCTAGATGATGACGATGATGAGTAAGTCTGTTGTGTTTCATTACAAGTATGATAGGATGTTAACGGCTTTTGTTTTCCTTTGGTGTAGGGTTTGTTGAATGAACAATTCCATCAGGCTGAGATTCTGAGAGAATCCCACAGAAACAACTCTCATTTTGTTGCTCAGTTCATCGCTACATTCTGTGATGGCACCCAAAAGCTTCTGGCTGATGTTGATGACATACTGTAAGCATAAAACAAACTGTGTTGATGCTGATCTACTCAAAAATATGTTGATTCACTTGTGCCTTATACTGTATCTACAGGAAGGAGGAAACCGTTGATTTCTCACAGATGTATCATATTGTGTGTAAGATCAGAGGAAGCACCTCAATGTATATACTTCCTCTTTCCCCCCTTTGATCAATATGGCATGCAAACAAATGTAGTTATAATAAGAAATTGAAAATAAACAATTAATTTCTATAAACTGAAAATTAACTAAACAGTTTTAACCACATAAATGTACACTATTAACATATAGACTTATATATAGGCACAAAGAGGGTAAGGGCTTAATCAAGCCATGTTGACTATGCAGACTGATCCTATATCAGTTTTAACTACATATGAGCCAGTTTAGAAGCTAGAAATTAATCTATACACTAAAGCTATTGGGCATATACTGTAGCTTGGCACTATTCATTCTACAACACACCTCGATAGATTATTGTTAAAAGAGACAATAGC